CAGCTCGAAATAGTCGTGAGCATAATGGCACACTGGTTACCAGCATGTACCGCAAAGCCACCCACACTGACAGAATACTCCACAGTGACAGCAATCATCCTACGGCCCACAAAATTGGCTGCATTTGCACCCTGTTTAATAGGATAAACACACACTGCAGCACGGCAAGTGAAAAAGCCAAGGAAAATACACACCTTTTTCAGGTGTGCATACAGAATGGCTATTCGGCCGACTTCATCCGACATCATCACCAGCAACGGGCGCCATGTGCTGCAGATGACAGGCTTCCAATCACTACTACCTGGACCACACTCCCCTATATCCATGGAGTGGCAGAGACAGCTGCAAGAATATTATCTGAGCATAACATTAGAGTGGCGCATAGACCCAATCAGACTCTCTGAACACGGGTAATGCGCCCCAAAGAACCCTTGCCCATGAGTGAGATGTCATCAGTGGTATATCAAATCAATTGTAATAATTGTGCATGCAATTATGTAGGTGAGACCACGAAGCATCTTCGGAAGAGACTGCATGAACATCAGTTGGCCATCAAATGCCATGAGCAGCAGTCCCAAGTGTGGGCTTACACTGTAGAACACAACCAGACGTTTAATTTCACTGAGGCCAGGCTCATTGCTCATGATGCAACAAAGTGCGGCTGTCTGCTAAAAGAGGCATGGCTATCCCAACAAGCATTCCATCAACCGGCATATTGAACTGTTACCAGCTTATCAGACATTACGCCGGCAGACATCTTTAAATAAGAAAACTGCAAAGATGAAACAGCCACAGATCCTCACTGATACAAACAGGTTAACAGGATCGTATCCCTTCCTCAATGGATTCAGGGTTACAGCAGATGATTGAGGAGAGGCAGACATCGCCGATGTGTAACAGCAGGGGATTTGGAGCCAACATGGACAGGGACGATGACAGCGATAAGGAACAGCTAGCTGAAACGGCAGCATCGCATATGCAAACACCAGAAAAGCAGCAAGATGACTGCTCACAGCAGAATATACACTCCACACGGGCGGGGCGTGAGGAGAGGAGCAGGGTGCCTAAATTTAAACAGCCGTCAACGAGTGCGACGGAAACAACACAGCAATTAACTACAGGGGGGAGGGAGCTGAATAGACCGGTAACATGGTCATTAGCTAAACGCTTGGCATCACAAAGACTATAAGAACATGATTCTCAATCCTGGCTAGAACTCTGATGATGTTAGCAGACGCTGACGAAAGCTAAGTTTTTAATAAAGTTTTAGTCTCAGTGATCTGTGTTTTAGTTTTTGAATATATATATATATATATATGATGTCATAATTTTGTTCACTTAGACTAATTTAAATTTTTCATCCTATCCCATCCCAATCCATCCCTGAGTGAATCTTTTGTCTTTCTAACAGCTGGTGTCCTCAATTAGCTACATGTTTCCCCATAACAAAAAATTGTTTCTGTCCAGATGGAGGGAAAAATTGTTTGATTAATGATGGTCTATTGTTTGTGTTCTTCAGTTAACTTAGTAAATGTAAATTATACATCATATATTCAAACTTGTGCCCTGTTCTGGAGTTCAAATAATATTTTGTGGAACAATTGAAAAGCAATATTGGCTTATAGAATGAAATAGAAAAACTGAAGAAAAAAAATCAAGAATATGAAAATACTTTGATTATTTCTAGAAATTATGGTGAAAAAAGGATATGTTGCTGTAGGATAGCTTATATATTCTTAAAGAAAAAACTATTTTTCAATATAACTTTTAATAGCTAAGGTCAATATACATATACAGGTATTTTATTCAATATTACTTATGGATAATTGAATTAATTCATAGACTATTTTCTGTTGAAAATAATTTGAAAATAGATAGCAAAATTTGCATATACAAATTTATTTTTATTGAAAAGGTTTATATAGCCACCCATCTTATGAAATTCTACATTAATTGTGCTACACAGTGATTAGAATGTAGTATTGCAGGCTGACTGCTCACTGCGAGGAGTTTGATCCTGACTGACTCAAGCTTGACTCAGTCTTCTATCCTTCTGAGGTCAGTAAAATGAGGACCCAGATTGTTGGGGGCAATATGTTGATTTTGTAAACTGCTTAGAGAGTGCTATTAAGCACTATGAAGCTGTACATAAGTCAATGCTATTGCTAGGTGGCTACCAGTAATAATAAAAACAAACAAATCCAACAAACAAACAAGAAAGACCTGGTACCCAAATCAACAATATCTATCCAACTATATGCCCCCCAGACTATCCCAGTGATAGTTGGGATATCCCAGTAAAAACAACTGTAACATTTTCTTATGCCATTTAAATTGTTATAGTCAGAGTAGAACTTTAGCACCTTGAATATATTACTGAGGACACCCTGATGATTTTTTTGCAAATAAATATTATCTGGGACTGAAAATGTTGACTTTAACGAATGTGGAAACTTATATCATAAAACATTTGCGTAAAAAGGCTTCGGAACAGCAGCAGACATGATGACTAATGTACCAGTATAAATAGGGTATTACAGCTTATTTGATTGTAGTTTATAGTACAATTTTATTTAATTATTGTTCTGAATAATTATACATCAAATATATTTCTCACAAAGAAATCTTAAAAATGTCATCTTCACAGTGCCTTTAAAACAAATATTTTAAACCATTAAACAGTGAATAAAATGTGGAAATGCATGAAATATATCATCTTTTATTCTAGTACTTATTTTCTTCTTACAAGTGTGTTCGTGTTTGTATTCATCATGACTTTGGGTGTGGCTGCATTTGTTGGTCAGACTCTTAAGTGTGGATTGCTTTTAGTATGTTGACAAGGGCTTGTGGCAATTGCAAGTAGGGGCTGGGAGAGTATGTTAGGTTCTATCCTGACCAGAATGCTGAATTGATCCTTCTTGTTGGGATGTACCTCTGGATATGGTCATCAGCTTTGGAATGGGTACCATCAGTATAATGGTGACACCCCTTTCTGTTGTTCCTTATCATTCATCTCCATATCATTTATTTGAATGATTAAATCCAGACAAAGGAACAATACTGTTGGTAATGAGAAAACTGGATTCAAAGTAGATGTGAAGTTTATTTTGGACAAAGTTTTTCTTTCCAACAAGGGGTATGTTCACAGTACGGGATTGTTCCTCTACTCCAGTTGTTATTGGTTTTGCATATGAAGCTACGGCAAGAATATCTTTCTATAACTATGATTAATATGCCAGCTTTGATTCTTCCTGAGCTAGTCTGACTTGGCCATTGTGTATGTTAAGTATGGTGCAAATCCAAGAATTGGTCACAATTGAATGGAAGAAGAAAAAAACAATTGTGGCAATTACTCACCAAGCACAATTTAAGATAGCAGTGTTGAACTTTAACAATCTAAATAGCTTAGGAACTGATTATCTGAGGGATTATCTCTGCTCTTTAATCTGTCCAGTTATTTAGATCTGCAGGAAAGTTCCATTTGGAGATTCCCCTGTTGCCAGAAGCCTGCTTAACCTGTACATGGAAAAGGGTCTTTTCCTATATTCCTATGAAGTACATTTTATAAGCAGCTCCCTTTGCCCTCTATTCTCCTAGTATTTAGGAAAATTGGAAAAATCCATCTCTTTTACCAAGTGCTTAAACTGAGGTTTAAGGTACTGATTTTAATTTTGTTCTGATTTTAATTATATAGCAGTATGTCAGGATTTAAGTTAGATAAATGAATATCACAAATAGGAATTAAATTAATAGGAATTAAAAGAAACCAGCAGAGGACTGGACAATGAATAATGAACATTTGTCTGCTATAATTCCTTTTCAGTGATCAAAGAAATGCTCATTTTTCTTTTTAAAGAATTGGGGTAATAAATATTGCTAATATTGCTTCAAATCTTCCTAAAGTTGTTGCTTTAATTTGATTGCACTGATTTAAAATATCTCTAGGTTTGTCTACCTGTTTTCTTTAATATTACTCCTTTATACTATGAAATGCATAATCAGTGAGAGATGCATGCCTAATAAAGATCTTGTGCTATTCTGCTTAATGCAAATCATCTTATTCTTTTCTGATAGCAAGTGCCTTTGAAATGAGACCAATGTTTTTATCTACCGAATACCTGTTTCTCTGCCATGTATTTTATTAAAACCAGATAGTCTGTCTTACAAATAACATTTTTTGTTAGATGATCAGTATAGTCTTTAAGACTTATACCCATAGAATCTGTCTTCCAACCTACAAACTGTTGACAGTTTTATAGGATGTTTTCTTACGTAGGTTTCAATTATAACGGTGAAGGAACCATATGTTAAATTTAACTTATGAAACCTAAAAAAAGTCATTATAGAGAAGTTCTAGAATATGTTCTCAACTACTATGACGTCCAACGAAGTCACGTTTGATTCTCATGAGCTAAATATAGAAGTACAGACTAGAGCATTCTCTATAAAGTCATTTCTATATATGCTAAAATATAGAAACAATGTTAAGATTACCTCAAAATTCTTTTAGGTAAATATGTTTTTGCTTAATTCTTTCTAGCAGTGGCAATTTTTGTTTGGACTAAAATGTATATACATCTCTAAAATGCTCTTTAAGTAAAATTTGTTAAAAAGGCTCTTTGAAACTTTATGTTCTTATATCAAGAACATAAAGCAGCTGCAAGCATATAGTCAGTTCATCAGTAATATAAATATTTGGGTTTTTGCATGTACTATAATAAACTTTAATGATATTTTCAGTAATCTTTAAAAATGATAGACGTATTCATACATTAAAGATAATATGGATATATTGTTAGGGTATTATATTGAGCCAAAGCTTTGATTAGGAATTTGCCATAATTTTATTAACAGATTTCACATGACTGTCTTTATCTTGAAACTTGTTAGTATGTGGTTGTCTAGTTTCATTGAATCATACTTCTGGAAGAAAGCCAGTCATATGAATAAGAAATGTTAACTTTTTAAAAAAAACTAAATATTAATGTTTATTGCTGCAGGATAAAAAATGGATTCTCAATCATGAAGACGTCATTCTGGGAGAATTACTTGGCAAAGTAAGTAACTATCAAAACTCCTAAATATTAAACCTTTTTACAAAACACAGTAGTTATTAAGCCTTCTCAATGCATGATAGATCACCTGTTTTAGTTTATGTCCAGTGTGTCTCTTTAGTTTGAGATCTTTGCAGAATATCAGCTACAACCACGAGAAGTCAGGAAAGAACAAGCAAGAAGGACTGTGAGGTCTTTGGTGCTCTCTGAACTTAGTTGAGAGAGTACCAGAACCCCACAATTCAACCCTAAGCTATAAATAGTCTCTTTTATTCAGGACTGTGGGGATTCATAACAGATTTCAGCCCAGATCATGGAGGGCAATATGTAGTATAGGAAGATATAAATAAAAAACAGGAATGAAGATTATAGTTTTTTCAGTTTGCAGCTGTTATTTTAAATAACTTAAAAATACTGTCACTTCAGCTTATTTCTTCAAATTCAGATGTAATAGAAGTCTTGGACTACATGTGTGTGGGTGTGTAAATTTTGAATTCATTCCATTCAAAAATACCTATTGAATGAAGAAATGTTGTTTAATCTTTCTTTATATCATCACCACATTGAAACGCTTAAAACGCACTTGAAGAATTTTGGATGTCAGTTCAGAGAATGACTTTTTAAGTGAAAAGGTATTGAATGCACAAAGTACTTAGTAAAATTTAGAAAGACTAGAGTAGGGTCAAGGATGCTAATTCTAAAACTTCTTATAATATGTCACACTCCAGATCAGTGGTTCTCAACCTGTGTGTCGGGACCCCATTTGGGGTCGATCGACCATTTCACGGGGGTCGCCAAGCAAGGCTGTCCGCCATTTTTTTTGTCCATTTTTTTTCCCTTTTCCGGCAGGTGCCTTACCTCCCTTGGGCTGGGCCAGCTGGTGGTCGGCCTGCTCCATCTCTGCCGCTTGCCAGCTATGCCTCGGCCGGCGCAGGGGGCGGAACCACGCATGCACGGCGCTCCCAGGCAGGGAAAGTCCTTGACTTACGACCAGTTGGGTAGTCCTCGACTTACGACCGGTTTAGTCCTCAACTTACGACCAGTTTAGTCCTCAACTTACGACCAGTTTGTCCTCGACGTACGACCGGTTTAGTCCTCGACTTACGACCGGTTGTGGTCACGGCATTAAAAAGGTTGAGAACCACTGCTCCAGATGCTGATAAAATATTCTGTCATGTGCAAGTGCATACATGCCATTATTGTTCCTAATTTATTGCCTTATTAAATATAAAGTTGCACTCATTAAATGTATTAAATATCAGGGAAAGTAAATAATATCAGAATATGATTTATTTACATATTTCTTTTTATTTTTATTTTAAAAGAAAAACATGACATATTTGAATATAGAAACATATTCTGTTATCTTTAAAAAAAATAAGAAACATTGCTTTATGGGATTTACTTCTTTAAGATTTAGCCACATTATGGTCTCTGAAATAGAACCTATATTATAAAGATAGGTTTCATTTCATTTTTTCTAGCTGATTTTGCTGCTTTGTGTAGCAGTTTGCTATTTGTATTCTGAAGAAGAGTCATATGCTCAGGCCTAATATGCTCTTAATAATGTTATATTTGAAGTGATTATTCTCAAACCTCTTGAGCATTGATGCTGACATGAGGAGGAATTGTACCATAGATTTCCTGTATTTATCTTTTATTTTACCCCATTACTATGGAGTTGCATAGTACCAGAACATTCTTTTTTTAAAAAATGTATTTTAATAAATGTTTAAAATAATTTTAAAAGATAGTAACACTGAGATAAAATTTAATATAAATAGAGTCTCTTCTAAATATAAATAGAGTCTCTTCTAAAGAGGACACATGCTTCATATGATCTGATTACATAAGGAAGCACACAGGAATATTGCTAAAAACTGCAGCTGCATTCTTCCAAACAATATTATATGTGTTTATATTATTCTTAACCTTAATTTATTTTTTTAAATCCTCTGGCAACATTTAAAATAATTGTGTGTGTGCATGTATTTTATGCATGCACAAGCCTTTGAGTCAGGATTGACTTCTGGCAACAGCCTGGACAGCCCCAACATTTTTCTTAACAAGATTTCAGGAGTGGTTTGCTTCCTAGGGCTGAGAGAGTGTGATTGGCCCAAGGTCACTTAGCTGGCTTCATGCCTACTTGACTACTCACTGTTCTGACAATTTAATTATCACTTTTGAGAAATACTAACATCATATAAGTGACATGGGAAATACCACAATTTTAAAATATGAGCTCCACCCATTTGAGGCATATGCAAGTTCAACAATTATATTATGATACTATTGATGTCAGTCTGACTCCTCTTGTCCCCTGAAGACATTGCTGCACTGCACTAGTTCATGTGTTAAAAACAATATCTACTTCTCTAAGTCACATGACCTTATATAAGAAAATTAGTATGACTGCATTGAGTTAAGGTGTTCTGATATTTTATGCATTTAGAACGTGATTTTGTTCACTGTTTTCGTCACTGACAACTTCTAATATTTACAACTTCAGGGTAACTTTGGTGAAGTCTATAAAGGAACATTAAAAGATAAAACGCCTGTTGCTGTAAAAACATGTAAAGAAGATCTTCCTCAAGAACTGAAAATAAAGTTTTTATCAGAGGCCAGGTAAGAAGTAAAAAATACCAAAATATATATTTTAAAAAGTCATTTGGTGGCTTTTAGTGGAAAATATTTTCCACTTCAAAATGTATTTCAGTTTAATAGTGTTTATGCTCTTACATTGATAATAATGTAGAAGTCACTTGAATTAAGCCTCTCTGGGACAGGGAGAGGGCAGAGAAACCAGCAATGAGGAAATTATCCTAGATTTGTTTTGTACATAAAGTGAATATCTTTAGATCTTTACAGTTTTTATAAGCAAGATATATCTAAAATGATACACTCAAAAATTCAAGAAAAATCTTTCATGACTTGATTTGTCATTAAATTTCCTGGAAGAATATGTTAGCGAATAAACTTTTTTTATGATAAATTAAAAAACATTTAGAGAATGATATACTACATTGATGTGAGGAAATTTTCCACCTCTTTGCAGAATACTCAAACAATATGATCATCCCAATATCGTAAAACTTATAGGAGTATGTACTCAAAGGCAGCCTATTTATATTGTGATGGAGCTTGTTCCAGGTAATGTTGGTTTATAATATTATTTATAAATAATATATTTATATGCCATTTCTCCTCTTTTTTCTCTTTTTCTCACTCTTGTATTTTGTTGTCTTGGACATGCATTTTATGTTTTTTAAATTACATCACTTTTGAATTTAAACATGGTGATTTATATGGATTAAATAAAAGTGGGTAGAAGAAATTCAAAATCATATTAATATTTAGCTTTTACCAGGAGATGAAAGTAGTCTTAAAACCATAGCTTTTAAATATATATCATCGTAAAGTTTTCTAGAATATGGAAATATGCAAATCTTGACTGATCCATATTATTTGTAAATATTGAATATACAGTATAAGAGAAAAAGTAAAAAATAACTGTAGTATGAGAAATATAAAAAACTGTTGATTAATATGTCAAGTTCATGTAAAAGAAACAAGGCTGAAAGTTAAGAGAAGCTATATTGCAGGATTGTTTTCATATATTTTCCACATCGTGATCTCCATGCATTAATTTTTGTATTTGTAATCTTAATTTGTTGCAAACATTGGTATGCTTTGCAACCAATGTGAATGTTGTGACAGAAAGCAAGATATAATCTTAATGTTCCTTTTACAAACAAAACCAGATTCTTAAAAATTTGGCTTTGGAGAATAAATGGTTGTATTTTTGCTAAACTGCATTTGTATATGTTTATGCACAACATATTTTTGGTAATAATTCATATAGAGAAGAGAATGTGAAGTAACAAGATGAATATTTCATTTAGTCCTTTAAAGTGAGCGTTTAAATGATTTTGTAATTTAGATGCAGCAACCTTTGATGGCTGCTGGTAAGTTTTCCATTGTGGGCTATACATAAAATGGTCCACAGTAAGTAAGTTTTGATTTAGAAATATCAAAAAACTTAATCAGGTAATAATTCACTAAAAGTCATAAAATTAAAATTCAAAAATTCATAATTGTATGATACAATAAAATATCCATAAAGGATCAACATTAATAAAATAGATAGCGAGGTCACCCTTCTAATGCCACTCTTACTAAGATGGTCACAGTAATCCATTTTAAATCTTTGGTTTCACTTTATGAAATGTTTTATAGATGGGTCCCTTCGTTTTTTCTAAGGAGGCACTAAAAGCTCCAAAATAGAAATATCAGGAAAACATGATATGTGAAGTCTTCTTCCCCAGACTCTGAAGTGTTATACCTGGAAGGACTGTTCCTGTTGCACAATCACAAGATATTGAAATTTAACTACTACTTGTGTTTGTGCCCAGAAATAGAGAATGGGAACTGTATGATATGGGAAGTGAGGTCAAGAAACATGAGAAGTTATTAGATATGGACGATAAATTCAACAGAGTAATTTTGCCATGTAAAGCTTCAACTATCATTGCAAATTGTGAAATGGCAACTGTAAGGGGAAGAAAGGGTTAAAAAGTAGAGTTGTATTCATGTCTCTTTGAGAGAATTCAATATTTTATAGACTTAATTCAATATATTTAATAACTTTTAAACTTACAATTTTATTTAATAATGTTTTTAGTCTTGGTTCAATTTATTTTATGTGACCTGACCCAAAATGTTTATGTTATAAATATTTTAGTGTCACATAAGATGACTCTAACATGGATTTTCTTCACTTTTGGATTGCATTGCTTATATAGCTTAATCCTGAAACCAGTGAAAGAGTTTAAGGCACTCATTTGCAACAGTATTAGTAGAATATACCTATTATAGTTTATTATCAAAAGCATTTTTTTCTAACCCAGTCTACAATACTGTTCCTTCCTGAAACGTTCAGGCAACCTGGCCAGTATACATTAAAATTCTCTATCTCAAAAATGTGTACTAGTAGTCAGCCCAGTATATTAAAAGATAATAAATTGTATAAAAATCTTCTGTGATTATATTTGTTATCTTTCGTTGATAGATTTGTAAAATGAGTTTCAAGATAGGGACATAATTATATTTCTGAAAATTAGCCTTCCCCTAAGCACTAGATAGCCAACCATTCTTTTTCCAATCATGGGAAACAATGCATATAGGTAGGATCATTCAGAAGCTCACACTTATAGTTTCTAGAATGAAAAACAAGTCATTACACAGCTAATTTCCTGCAAATACAAGGCAGTATTATTAAAGATAGCATACCATTAAAAAAAGAACAAACAGTAAGAAATTAGTTCTTACAAACGATAGAAACACAAGTAGAAGTGAAATGAAATCAGGAATCAAGATTAAATGTCATACAAAAGAGTAGTAACTGTCAGTGTAAAACAAGCATGCACTGCATCTAGGAAATTTGAATGTAATTTTTATTAAAAAATTTAATTACAGTAGTTTAAACCAATAAACTAAACTTAGAGAAAGAGAAGGTAATGGGAAAAAAGAGAGAGGGAGGGAGGGAGGCAAGGTAGTAAAGGAAGGAAGGAGGAAGGAAGAAGGAAGGCAGGCTTGTTAATTTGTTGCTTTTAAATGCATATTGTTTCCACACAATATAATATAGATTTGATCCCTTGTAAATTCATTGGCTCTTTTTGGTATCAACATATAGCTATGAAAATAATGCCAGTGTACTTCTATGATTTGTAATATTTCAAACTTTATTCCTGTTGGTTTCACCCTTCAAAATACTGCTGATGCTGTATAAGTGGGTATTTTAAAGTGCTATTCCAGATTATTTGCTTAGTTGCAGTGATATTTCATTTCATGCTTAATGTTCTAATCCAAATGAGAACAGGAAAGCATAAGCTCTCATAACATTATCACACTGAATATACATTAATACTTGGAACCAGTCTTCAGTTTGCACATTACACAAATTTACTAAATTGGATTTTAATACATTAAATCCACGAAAACAGGAAAAGCTCCTGTCTGGTTGATTATCCTACTTAGTACTCTTGGAGGAAACAGTGAAATCTTTGTAGGTACAGTTTTTTTGTTTTGTTTCCAATCTCCTGCATTTGGTAAGCCTTCATTCAATATTCTTGCTAAACACTGATGTAGTGATCTGGGCACATAAATTACAGATAGTCCTTGTTTAGGAACCACAGCTGGGACTAGCAGTTCTATCACTAAGCAAAGCAGTCACTCAGTGAAACTGCAACTGCACTTTTCTTTGCTTTACAGACCTGAGATGTAATGCAAGGCTTGGTCATGAAGTTAGTTCTATGTCACTTTTGTAACTGGAAACAGTTGTTAAACAAGGTAGTGGATAAAAGAGAGAGAGAAAGAGGAAGAGACACCATATAAAAGCATATTTCTGCCCACTTTATTATATGAAAATAAGAGTGGGTATGTCAGAAGAAACAATACTGAGCTGGACTCAGTAGAAATGAGATGCTTATGAAATGTATTTGGTTAAAAAAAATAGAAATTGAATCAGTGTATGTGAATTGAAATGAAGGCAGAGTAAATGGGTCAAGAAGAAGTGAAAATCATAAATAGTGATTCGATGGAGTGAAGAGATCCTCAGAAAGAAAAAAGTCAACATTTTTAAAAACAAAAGAGAGTGTAAGATAGTCCTTTCTTACAATCACAATTGGGACAGGAATTTCCATCACTAAATGATGTGGTCCTAAAGTGAGGTATCACTTTTCCCCATTGGCTGACATTCTTACAGTTTTTCTGCCACACTGCACAATTATTATTGCTGAGCAGCATGGCACAAATATGCATGGTAACCAAGGGAAAGGCGCGAAGTGGTTATGTTCACTGGGGAAGTGAGGAAGGTTGGCTCATCTTCTCCTAGTGATGTTTTTCCTGAGCCAACCTCCTTCGCTTCCCCCTCGGGCAAAAATGCTTCCTGAATCATGAAAACGGCAAGTATGAGTTGGAAAGGATCAAGATGTGCTATTTTGAGAATTGCAGCCACTTCCAAAATGGCATCGGCTCCCCAGACAGCATCATATGGCCTCTGTATAGGAAGGTCATGTGGCAGATCAGTTGCTTCTCCTTCCCAAAGGCAATCTTTGGAAAAGGTAAATGGACTGAGGCATGATAGGAGAAAGGAGGATGTGAACTCAATGGGACAGCAAGCACGTCTAAGGCCTCTGGGAACCCAACCGATTAGGAGGTAGACACAAGGGAGACCCAGTAATGTGGGAAGCAGAGCATGGGGTTCCTCAGAGGGCATGGGACTCCCAGTGTAGGCCACATTTGAGCTAGGGAGGTGCTGCAGTATGGGTCTGGGCCTGCTCTGGGTCTCCCAGTGCCTCCCTACCCCTGAGGTAACCCATGTACCACTTAGTAACTGCAATGTGGAGAGAGAGATTTTGGTTGTTAAGCAAGACAACCATGTGGGCAGCCTCACTTAACTACCTCTATGACTTACCTATCATAATAGCAGACTACATTAAGGTCATAAGTCAAGGACTAGCTTGTGTAATATAAGTATTATCATAAAGCCATTTATAACATAATGCCAAATGTTATAAAACATTTCCTGTGCTGATGTTTGTCTGTGCTATACAGTTCCATACGGAATATTTTCAAGGAAGATATCCCAACTTTTCCACTGAAGGTAGCATATTAGAAGCTCTGTCATTGTTGAAGGCATTGAAGAATCTGACAAGAAAATATCTCTGAAACGATTACCCAAAAGGACACAGGTTGTTTAGTAATACATATATGTATCTTTCTCCCCAAGCCATTTCATAGGCCACTGACAGCCCATTTAAAGTGATCTCAGATAATACACATACTGAATTCCTCCCACCCTCTATCTATTGAAAGTCCTTTCAGAATTGTTCATAAATTTCAGATGATGTTGGTTTGTTCCTAATTGAGAGGAATTTTGCTGTAAAGAGTTCCAAGTTGCATACAAATAGAAAACTTACTGAGCATGTACAAAGTATATAAATACCAGAGACAATAAAGAATTAACTAACATTTAGCACAATAGTTACTTTTTTAATAATAGTTAAATAATCATCCTCCAGAGCACAGACCAAACTTGTAATAAATGTTATGTCTTTGCCAGTTTATAACCAGAAAATCCTGTTCTATGT